ATATTTAATGCATAATTACATATTAATCTTCTCACTTCCTGGAGATGAATTGAGAGGTAATGATGACTCTAGGCTCTCACCTCTATCAAGATATTAATAATTTCTCAGTTAAGCGAACCTAGTCTAATCCAGACCTTTGAGAATGCCTATGTCAAAGTTTTGTTAGCATCTCCATGTAGGTTATGTAACAATTTATCTTACATTTCATCTTTAGTCTAATATGAAGCACATTAAAAAAAAAGAAAAAAGCATGAAAAAAGAAAGCCTCCCACTGATTTCCCCTGAGGTTTGATCAAACACAGTGCCTATTCAACATGACTGAAGTACTTTCCACATTGGTAAGACTATAAAAATTCAAAGTAGTAAGGTAGTTTCTTTCTATGAAGGCCAGTGAACAGAACTATACATACATAAAAGGCTTCGTGTTTTTGCCCATGAAGTTATTACTTTGAAATTTTATTTTTTTTAAATAAATAACCAGATTTGGTGTCCTGTATCAGAGCGCACTTTATGTCTTAGTATTAAAGGGCTTAAAGGGGCTTGATCATATTAACCTGTCAGTAAGTTCTACACTTCAACATCAACCACTAACTGGTCCCTCCCCTCCACTTTTTCAGAAGAATGCACTACATATATGGAGGTTCTGACAACATTAAAATTTAACTTCTGAAATCAAAGGCACCAGAGCAGAGTTATCTAGTCTGCCTCTTTCAAATTTTGGAAGAAGTATTCCACCTTCCGTTTTCTTACTACTGATGCCTACTACTTCCCACTTTTCTGCTATGGAAATGTGTACTTTTAATGTATAAAAAATTTGCTATATTGTCACAGGGAAATGATCCATTTCAACAAATGAAAAATTTGTGGGTATAAATATGAAACATTTTTGGGATCTGAAATATCACAGCTTTTTTTAGTTCACTGGAAGTCTGATTTCTGGCAAAAAGAGCCTCTTAAAATCCATTTAGGATTCTAAATTAATGCTAGACAAAATAATCTATAAATATTGTTTGCCCTGTGTTTTTAAGCTCATACTTATCTTCCAGATCTTTGGAATACAGAGAACCCAAAACACAGAATATAGCATTTGAATATCAAGCTCTACTTGCCTGATGTCTGTGTTACATTTGACAGTCTGAAATCAGAAGAAATGGCCAGTAACCCAAACAGTGAAATTAACATTAACTTACAGTTTGAGTATCTTTACATATTATCACATCTAAACCAGCAACAGTCCAGAAACAATGAAATCTAAAAATGCCTATACTAATTCAGTACAGCTTTTATGTGTATATAAATTATAATACTATCTTCAATTCCTCTATTATACCTTCTCCAGCATTCAGTTAACGTAATTTTAGTTCTCACTATTTGGCTGGCTTATCAATACAACTTTTCACACTTAACTTACAAAATATGGTCGTACTAGACATGTAAAATACGTCTAGTAAGTATATCTTATGTTTTAATTTTGAAATTAGTACAGACTTGCTTCTTTGATGAGCATTTCTCATTTTGATAATACCATTCATTACAAATTGGCTTTCATTTGTGTGTCCCCCATCAAGGCCTTGGGGCAAGCAGGATTATTCCCATAATATATATAAATAAAAAACGTAAGTCCCAAACATTGCTGTGCATGCAGGGTCCAATTTTTTCAAGACTATACGGTATCTGGTAAGCATTTAGCCATGCTTAGAGGCAGGTGCCAAGGGATTTGAGTGGCACTTACAAACACGAAACATTTCTATGTACAAAACTAGGTTCCTGAAGCTGGGAGCCCCAAAAATGAGAAACATACCAGTACTGAACGCATTGGTTTATGGTCAGACGACTAGTCCATAATTCAACAGAAATTTTGGCAGAAGTCAGTCTTCCAGAGTGACATTTAATTTGACATTAAGCCATCCTTTTCTCCTTCCGTAATCTTCTATCTTTTTCATTATGTTTTCCAAATTTAGCAGTATTTAAGTGCTTCACACTACAGCTTTGAATCCTCACTCATAGCAAATGATCAATCTTTCACACTAAATGAGGCAAAATACATCTGAAAAAACTAGCATACAATCAAGATAAAACATAAAACCAACAACAACAAGACTTAACGTCTACCATGGACAACACTAATCTGCATTTTCAAGCTTCTAAATATTTTAACTTTGTTATGAACTTTCATTCTGGGTTGTTTTGGTTGGTTGGTTTTTCGTCCAAAAAAGGAATCTGCAGAGGATACAGCAGTCCTACTCCAATAAGACCATGCTGAGCAGAGGGTATTTTGTATTTGTTTCTCCATTCCCTCCCAAAAGCCAAGACACTAAACACTCTTCTCAAAGACTACAGGCAAAGCAATTAATTTCCTCCTAAACTCGTTTTGAAAACTGACAAAATTAAACTGATTAAAATACTTATTAAAATCCCCAAATTCTTAAAAAACAAACTAAAATAATTTCCTCACAAATCAAAATCAGATATCTCAGAGAAAAGGTCTAAAAACGTTAAATGAAGTAATTGCAGAAGGCATACGCAATCTTGACTAAATACTGATATTTGTATTCAGGCTTAATTAAAGATGTAATTTATTTTTTTCATTTTGGAAACATATTCTGCAGGTTCCTCCCTCCTTATCCTGTCCTACATCCAAACTTTATCCTTCTCCTTGTCACTTTTTAAACATAAACAGTATTACATGTCCACAGCTCCCATTTCACCGGGGTAGTAAGCATCTGAAATAATCATGATATGCATGAAAATGGAGCTAACCACACCTCAAATACTGTGTTCAGTTTTGGGCCCCTCATTAAAAGACAGACATTGAGGAGCTGGAGCGTGTCCAAAGGAAGGCAATGAAGCTGGTGAAGGGTCTAGAGCACAAGTCCTAGGAGGAGCAGCTAAGGTAACTGGGTTGTTTAGCCTGGAGAAAAGGAGGCTGAGGGGAGACCTTCTCGCTTTCTACAACTACCTGAAAGGTGGTTATAGTGAGGTGGGTTTCAGTCTCTTCTCCCAAATAAGATGCGACAAGAGAAAACAGCCTCAAGTTGTGCCAGGGGAGGTTTAGGTTCAATATTAGGAAAAATTTCTTCACCAAAAGGGTTGTCAAACATTGGAACAGGCTGCTCAGAGAAGTGGTTGAGTCACCATCCCTGGGGGTATTTAAAAGATATGTAGACAGGGTGCTTAGGGACATGGTTTAGTGGTGGACTTGGCAGTGCTAGGAAAATGGTTCGACTTCCTGATTTTACAAGTCTTTTGCAACCTAAAAAATTCTATGATTCTATAACGGTTTACAGAAACCTAAGGATCTTTGTTCCATTATTAAGCCTGCCAGAAAAACATACGCAGCGAGTTAACACAAACCATTTCATGCACAAGTTCTATTTATAAAGCAATTCTTCTACCCTAGCTACCCAGCATAACATATATTTTGTCATCATAGATACAAGTACTGCTTTCTCTCAAACAATGAAATGAAAAACAAGAGATGGCATCCTTCTCTACCACATAATACAGATCACCAGATTTTTATAACTGAAAAATTGCCAAGTTCGGAAGAGAACTTAATGTACATTAGATGCGACTATGTATGACTAAAATAATCAACCACAAAACACGTCTCTGAAGTTTACCAAGGTTATTCTTCCAGGAAAAACAGAAAATGAGGTATTTTAACACTAGAATTCAAGAGATCGTTGAGGTTAAAAAAAACACAACCCCTCCCCCCCCAAAAAAAAAACCAAACCAAAACAAAATCCAACTCTTAATTCACATTTCCTACTCAAGATATTTGTCTTTTGTTGTTTGAAAAAAAGAACCAAAAAAAAAATATTCATATTTTCCTCTGCTATAAATTCAAATAAAATAGTATGGGAACTATTTCACCATGCTTTGAAGGTGGCTTTTTATTAAATGTAGTGTTCATAATCTTCAACCATGTAATACATCTGAAAAAAACATTCATCCCAATTCTCTATGCAGCAACATTCACCATTCAGAGGGAAAAAAAAGCACTTTTAGTTCAAATTTCATCATGTTATCTCACTGAGATAGTTTCAGATTGCTGAACTTTCTGCAAAATTACTTTATTGACACAGCAATGACTCAAAATAAAACTAGAAGTTATAGAATCGTAAATCCTCTTGCCTGCTTCCCTTATTCTACACTCAAAACCAGAGAAAAACACTGTGTTTTTAAATTGAAACCAGTAAAAACAATGTCGGCTAATTGAACAAGGTGACAAGCTGAGATAAATTGACATTTGCAATGCAGATTAAATGAAACAAACTCATTTTAGCTTCTATGTTACAACACATATATTAGAAAAATCAGAAGGCTATAGTCTTAATAATCTGCATAGGAATTAATTACTTTATCAAAAGTATTGCTGAGATGCAATAAAGATGACATTTGTTATTTTTGGTTAAGTATTTAAAATTAGAATTATTTTTAAATAAAACAAATATATGCATTCTAAAACATTTTTATCAAAATGTGATATTCTTCAGTTGGCTATACTTTTTTAGCTCTTAGGAAAATATACTGTTAAAGTGTTACAACAAATTGTATACTTCTAATATGCTTCTATGTTTAATTGCTTTGCAACATTAGATAAGAAGCTACTGACTTCTCATGGTTTATCGGATTATCTTAGAAAACTAAAATGAAAACTAACTTCCTGTATAGCATACATACTGTATGCATGTCTCTGTATTTTATATATTAGTCAGTATTCCCAGTAATCACAAAACGGTAAGTTTCACCTAATAAATTCTGCAACGATTTGAACGAACACCATACATTAAACAGCTGACGGTTAGTGACATATGCCTGAGATGTTCTCACTCTTCAAAAGCACTCCTCTGAGTGGAGGAACCAGAAAAATAGGGTCAATCTCTAATGCAGAAACTATCACTGCATATACTACACAATAAGAGTAATAACCAGTAAATAGTAACAAAAAAGCCTAATTTCGCCATTATTAAGAAGTCCAGTTATGTTTACTATACCTTTATCTGCTGTCTTCTAAGCATCGCAAGTTCCCTCATATCTCGGAACGGCTGTAGTAAGTACTGGTAGAGCTCCGTGGTAGCTTCTGCAAGACTACTGTAGGCTTCATCTTCCATTTGATACAGTTCAAGCAGCTCTACCATGCTTTCTGTTTTCTTATGTTTTTCCAGAAGCTGTAGAAGAAGTGCCAATTTTAGTGAATGTGTCCAAACATTCTTAATAAAACTGAGTCATTGAAAAAACATTTTTTAAACCAATCCCCTTGTATTATCTTCCCTCTCACATAAAATCATCACTCAGAAAAACAAACAAAACATCTTAATCCCCACCCACATCCTGAATTTAGCCAGTAACATACAAGCACTCTCTAATAACCTTAACTCAAAATGTGCAGCACTTTTATTGATGTTTTTCTTTCCAAAAATCTCTGGGAGGTAATGAATATGAGCACAAAAAGCATTTTAGCACAAGAATCTGTAACACAGTAATCAGATATGCTGCTTCACACATTTGCAGGGGTGGGGTGGTGGGAAGGAGTGACAGGAAAGGAGGCAAAAGAAGAGAAGTCACATTTTGATCTTTCTAGGTCTTTTGGTTTGGGTTTGGGGTTTTTTTTGCCTGTCTGTACATTGGACCCACACAGCCCCATTATATCAGTGCAGCTCCAGACACAGACAAGAATCTATATGAAACAATCAGTGATCTGCATTTTTGGTAATTTTGCCGTCTGGTTTATGATTTTAGCCTAGACAGTTTAGGCGTGAAATTTCAAATGCATGAAGCTTCCATCAGATTTTTTTTTCTTTTAAAAAGGATATTATCAAAGTATTATGTTTTTAAGAAATACTTAAAATAAAATAAATCCTGTTTTAATGCATATAAGAAAACACAACCACCAAAGTCTGTCCATTCCTTCCTTTAACTCTTATGAAGCCGAAAATGCATCTGTTTGTACAAACTTACTTCAACGTAAATTTTTAATTTATATGCTTGGTTTGCATCTATTTGGGGCATTTTCCTGGACAGATCTCACATGCTGCTGGAAATCTTTTATCTTTTCTAAAAAAATATTCAACTGTTTAACAAAAACTAATCTCATACAGACATGTCAAGTACTTGATGTGTTACAAAGACAAGATTATCTGAAATTAATTCCCCTCTTATGTAATTTTCAAAGTCAAAGTCTCTTGGCCTTTATATTATTATCTCAAAAGCATAGGCTAGAAACACTACGGAATAAGTACATCATATATCTTCTATTTGTTCATTCAAGCTGGATTCCAAGCCTGCATGAAATATTCTCAATATTTCAACTCAATTGCATCAAGTATTATAACTGGAATACAAAACAGAAGTAACTGCAGACTAGAAATTGAAGCTTTGGTCAACAGTCCTGTGGTATCTGGTTCATTTATACCCCAGGACCCAAGTTATACCCAAGTCAAGAGAAGACTTGATCACCACCCTGTCTACTCAGTTTGCTCCATTACATTTGTATTACTATCATATGTTTCAGTTACCCGATCGGATAAGAAAAATTTCCTCTTTCTTCATAATGTAAAGTTTGCTTCTGAAGAACCCCCTAACCCCACCTGGGCCTCCTTTGAAGCACTAAAGATCAGCCAAGATAAGAGAGAGGATGCAGGGTAGAACGCCGAGTCTCATAGTAGCTTCATTTACATGTTCAGCATTAAAATGATGGTCAGATGACATGCCAGAAGAGCTTTCACTCAGCAAGGCTCAGCAGAGATGAAAGGTCTGGGAGAGATGGTGTAGAACAGGTATGACACTCCTCACCAGCACAACACAATTTGTTTTATTACCTAAACAATTTCACCTAGGGAATTGTTCCTATTGCAAGGTCACTTGCTGTGACCTCTGCTCTCTTCCAGCAGCACGTAGTATTTTGTGGCATTTGAGTTCTCACTGAGAGTACTAGGCAGTGGTTTGTCTTTTCCAACCTAAATGATTCCATGATTCTCTACACACAGTTTAAAGGAACACAGAAAGGTCAGACTATTGTCTCTCAGTTTTCAGAACTGATGTGATTACCAAACACCAAGCCTTCACCAGTACAGTGTGGCATTGAAGACTGAGAGCTCTGATTCCAAGCCTGATGAAGAGTCCAGGCTGCTTTATGGCCACTAGTCCTAAAGGGGCACTGACATAGGAGACAGACGGCGCTAAGCTGGCTGCGTGGAGGATCTTTCTCACTTCACTCTATAAAGCAGTCCAATGGAAGCTCTCCTGTTCTCAATCAAAGTCAGCTGGAGCATTTTTTCAGCTGGCTGCCATCCAGACGGTATTCAGACTATCGGATAACAATAACGCTGGGTCTAGCACGGAACCACTGAACTAATAATGTCATAAGCACAGACTCGCAGGTAGTTTAACTGTGTGTGTTCCAGTTTTCACACAGGCAGTACTTAAGACGACACGCTACATTAGAAACATGAAAACTCAGCTAGTACGTTTTGTTCAGATGGAGACACCAGTGAAGCTGGCTGAATGCCTAAACCAACATGGTACCTTAAAACCATGAAGTTCTCAAGATGTTAGCATAAAATACATGAGCAATTTTTGTGACATGTTTTATGCCTCTCTCAAGATTAATTCTCAGCACAGACACTCAGTGTTACTGTTCGTTTACTTCAACAGTCTCGGTATGAATTTTTGACTTTCACAATTTTTTAATTACATTCTTTAAAGAAGTGGGTGGAGGAGGGTAGAGTAATATCCTGTATAGGCCTGACTAGCGCTATACCCATTGAATATTCAATTTATTTTAAGAATCATGTTTCACAGATGTTACATTGTTCACAACTAAATGAATCCATATATTTTAGGCAACTATTATGCTGAAAGACTCTAACCAGCAGGAAGCACATTTTTTTCAATTCAGCGGCACATATATTTGAACTACATAAAAAAGATTATTTCTGTCTTCAGTATTTTTAAAAAAATAATTTTGTCCATAAAGCTTTAAAAGCATTACTGCACACAGCGCAATTATGTGCGGGTTGACCTCAGTTGGGAGCATAATCCAAAGCTTGCTTTAATCAGTGAAAAGCCAAGTCTTACACTTCCTTTGCTATTATTCCCAAAACTTTCCCAGTTATTCCTGTCTTATTTTGCGTATTTTATAAAAACATTGCAATATGACACACATCCACTTTTAGCTAAAACAGGTTGCAAATATATTTTTCAGTCTCTTCCTAAGCTTCATCATACTTTTGGAATGGTAATTACAGAATACCCTATTTTTCTATGAATTTAGATTCTCAGAAGCCTGATAGTATTACTTGTCATTTCCAGGACGAACTCTAAAGATTTTTAATTGAAGCAGCATATTTAAGACCACAGGTACAACTAAGAACAGTTGTTTTCAGAGAGAAGTACAGTAAGACAGATAAAGAAGTTTTTAGATACTCCATTCTTTCCACTGAAAAGGAGTCCAAAGAGTAACACGACAAATCTTCCCGCTTACCCACTTGTAATAGTCTGCAATGAGCTCCAGACAGTGAGCTCTTTAGAAGTAAAACTCCACAGTACATAAAATTCGCATGCAAAAATTTAGCAACTGAACTTAAGACTGCAATTTCTTATATCAGAACATGCTTAAAATTGTTTCTATTCTCTCTTCTTTTAAGCTATCTTTAAATAAAACACACACAAAAAAAAATCATCTTGTTAAAAGCAAACACACTCCCCCATGTCCTAGTAAGGAGCAGGAGTCTCAACTACATGAAATCTGTACTGTAGGCGAACTGCTTTTCTCTCTATTACACACATGGTCCTGTATTTGCATGTTACCTGTTGTGTTTAAAAGCTCAAGCCTTGCCAGGACATTTAGCTTCTGTTTGCATGATTGCACTGCCATCAACAATCCTTACCCTTGTACTATAAAAAGACTATTTGCACTATTGTAGCAGGTGAATGGCCCAGTAACAGACCAAAACCTGACTCTCCAACACAGATCCAAAATATATTTTGCTGTTAGAGCAGAAATCATGTAAGAGAATACAAAAGACGGATACAGAGTTGGAATAGCACAAGTAAGGTAATAATGCCCAGCATGAGAAATACTGGAACTAGCACTACAGTATCTGTCTAATCTCTTAAGATTAGAAGATACAAACAAGCGAGTTCCATATTAAACATGTTTGGAAACCACACAGTTTGTAATCAGTACATAAAGCAATCATCCACCTATTGAGTGGACAAAAAAGTCCAATTTTTTCAACTAGGCTCTGAATATAGGGAATCAGAATGAATAGCAACAGTTATTGTCTGGATTCTGGGGTGAATTTCCGAAGGACTGTTTACAGAAAATTAAATTAATTACAGATCAGTTAAAATAATCAAATTAAAGGCACACATAAAACAAACAAGTTCAAAGTCCACAGTTATTCTAAGAAACAAGCAGCAGACACACATACACACAAAACAAATCCTAAAAAAATATTGGGAAGTAAACCAGTTTTTAAAATACAAGAAAAAAAAAAGAACATTTCCATAAGATTGTCTTCTATGCATCTGAAGAGCTGCTCATATCAAGCAAGCCACATTATTCCTCTTTAAACCCTGTTCAAAATAGTCTTATAACTGCGTGCAGAGACCTTGTGTACCTCAGTACATATGTGCAGAGATGTACTGGGTGTAGGTGGCAAGGTTTCTGTAGCAGGGGTGGCTTCTGCAAGAAGACGCCAGAAGCTTGTCCCATGTCTGACAGAGCCAAAGCCAGCCAGCTCCAAGACAGATCCACTGCCAGCCAAGGCTGAGCTAACCAGGAACAGTGGTAGTGCCTCTGTGACAACATATTTAAGAAGGGGAAAAAAACTGCTGCACAACAGCAGCTGGGAAAAAGGTGTGAGAGCATGCAAGAGAAAACTTTGCAGACACTGAGATCTGTGAAGAAGGAGAGGGAGGAGGTGCTCCAGGCACCGGAGAAGAGATTCCCCTGCAGCCCGTGCTGAAGACCATGGTGACACAGGTTCTCCTCCTGCAGCTCATGGAGGTCCACGGTGGAGCAGATATCCATCTGCCGCCCATAAAAGAACAAACGCCAGAGAAGCTGGATGTGCCCTGCAGGAAGCTGCGAACCCGTGGAGAGCCTGCACTGGAGCAGGCTCCTGACAGTACCTGCCAACCCTATGAGAGCAGCCTATGCTGA